GAGCGGACGGGATCCCGTATTTTCCACTACCTTTGGTCGCATGTATTAGCTGTGGCCTGGAGACGACCTATATCCACGACAGTGCCCCGTAAGCCACAAGCTGCAGAAGCTCCTGTTGAAAGCATAGCGTAGTGCAGCGATGCCAAGATAGCGACTTGACTCCTTATCACTGACAACATCTTACACACTGATCCCTAGATTTGAGCTGTCTTGATCATTGTTTGATCTATCTAGATAGCTTCGCGTGTCGATTTACATCCTTGTATAACAAGTACCTGAACTTGCCAGGTCCACCAGCATAGCACGCCTGGGGACAAAAAGCCCGCAACCACATAAAATCACCAGCCTCAACCTCGACCCAATCCTGATTCAGTCGGTAAACAGCCTTTCCCTCAAGAACATAAAGACCATGCTCCATCACATGTGTCTCAGCAAAGGGAATAATACCACCAGGCTGGAAAGTCACAATGTTCACATGCATGTCGTGCCGAACATCCGTAGGGTCAACGAAGCGTGTTGTCGCCCAAGCTCCATTTGTATCGGGCATTTCTCTAGGCTCAATGTCCTTCTCATTCGCGAAGAAGGCTTCGGGTGCATCGAGACCAGGGACAGACTCATAGGTTTTGCGGACCCAGTGGAAGCGAGCTGCTTCGCTAGAGTTGTTGCGGAGCGTCCAGCCGCTCTTGGGAGGGAGGAAGGCATAACCTCCCGATGAAAGAGTGTGAGCTTCGCCAGCTAGCGTAACGGTGATTTCACCCTCGACAACGAACAAGACTCCCTCAGCAGTGTCATCCATCTCGGCACGGTCACTGCCACCGCCTGGTTGAACCTCCATGATGTACTGAGAGAATGTCTCAGCAAAGCCCGACAGTGGGCGAGCAATAACCCATAGTCGTGTTTGCTCCCAGAAGGGAAGAAAGCTGGTGACGATGTCGCTGAAGCAGCCTTTGGGGATGACGGCGTAAGACTCGGTGAACATAGCCCGGTCGGTGAGGATTTGGGTTTGTGGGGGCAGGCCGCCCTTTGGTGCGTAGTAAGCACCCACTGTGTTGTTGTTGCCGCTCATTTTGAGATACGATTTGAGTATCCAAGAAAAGTATTTCGAAGCTGCTGAGAATGAAGATTATTTTTTAAGAGGGAGATTAAAACTCTCGGTCATCAAGTCCGATATCGAAAAGAGCTCACTTGCTACACCAAAAGTACCCCGCATGAACCCCTCCGAAGCGGACTGGACCCTTTATGGAATGTGGCCAATCGGGCCTTTGGCAATTCAGTCGCTTTCGTCTGAAGTTGGTGCTATTCCTAATCCAGCTACGAAATGGGCGACTTAGCAATGGACTTCGGAAGAGTAACCCGAAGAATCGGGCTTGTCAGAAGCAATAGTTTTCATATTGAAGAACTGTACGAGCCTGAAGTATACTGATCAATGCTTTAGTTAGAGCGGCATGAAGATCCCTGAGACTGTGCGCAATCGCTACGAGACAGAGAAAGAGTTTTCTCCTTCTTTGCAGACGCATTGATGGACACAGGATCCTCGACGATAATCTCCTTTCCTTCCGGAGCAGGACGAGTGATGGAGAACTCATCCAGCTTATAGTCGGACTTCCCAGTCAACGCCATCTCAGCGAGTGCTTTGCCCAGAGTTGGCACAAATTTCATAGCCCAACCAGCCGTGAAGATAGCAATACTCTTCTCTGCACCGCCTTGGAGATACTTCTCTGGCAAGAAGTCCAGCACAAACATGTTATCTACTTGTATCAGCATGTACCTAGGAGAGTAGTGCGATGGCCTTACCGAAAACATTGGTCTGGAGACAGCTAACAGTCGAGGCCGGAACGGTGGCATCAACGCCGACGACGTGATCTCTGACGAAGTCTTGAGTGTCTTGGATGTCTCTCGGGTCAAAAACATTGGCTTGGCGTTGACTTGGGTCGTCAATTATTCGAGTAGCAGCATCCACTGCAATTCTCACAACATTTGGCGGACCCCATGGCAAAGCTGGGAAGCCGTAGAAGAGTTGGGACCTGCCATTCACCGATGGCCCGAACTGGAACCACATGCCTTGCATCGTTAGTAGTGTAGATCAAAGCATCAAGATAAACCTACTAGGAAAGATAGTTCCGTTTGGTCCGGGATTGGTGTTGAAGTAGGTAGCTACCATTTCCCAAATTTCCAGTCTCAGACCAATGCTGAAGCTCGGTTTCAGCACATGATTGACGTAAGCTCCACTAGTAATAATGATCTTCTTTGTCAAGTACTTGACCTCTTTGTCATGAACCGTTGCGTGTATTTCCCAGATGGACTTATCGCTATCTAGAGGGCGAAGCTGCTTGACCTGAGTGTGCTGCTTTGCCTGGGCCCCATAGTCCTTCGCGAGACCGTACAAGGTGCGGAGGAGGAGCTGGACGTTGATGACACCGTTATCCGGGGCGAAGAGTCCGATCCATTTGGGGTCGAGGTTCTTGAAGGGATATTGCTCTTCGATCTGCTCAGCAGTGACTGTCCTGGTCAGAAAAAGAAGGTAGAATAAAAGTGGGCATACATACGCTCCTTGTAGAACATTCCAAACTTGTCTAGGTTCGCCTTGGGTCCTAGCAGTGATCCTACCATCGTCAGTACCGCCTCTCAGACGCGCAAGCATCTTACCTTCTGGAGTATCGCCACCCATGTCCTTATCACCAAAGTTCAGAAGTCCTCCCATCCAACGGAGCGACACTCCGGCATCTTTCTCAAGGGCATCCCAATGCTTCATAGCATCAATCGCGAGCTTGGCCATGAACTCTTCAGTGTACCTATTTTATCAGCAGGGTCCTCTGGATTTGTTTTGCGATAGACTTACATAGTGCGAAACATGCGGGCCAGATCACCAGAACTACCAGCTTGGTTGAAGAAATTATTCTGTTCAAGAATCATTACCTTGCTTCCAGCCTTGGCGACTTCGTATCCTGCGGCTAGACCAACAGGTCCTCCGCCGATAACGACGACATCGAAGACGTCTGAGTTCGAGTCTGAGTAGGCCATTTTAGTAAAGTAGATGTCAAAATATTATCGTTTCTTGGTTCTTGTTCCGAGTCATCAATTTCCTCCTGAACATAACAACCCAGAGTCAAGGTCACAGTCAGAGATGAGGACCTCGCTCTTCTTGTAATGAGATACGGCGCTATAGACTAGGAACGGTCCGGTATCTCTGCCGTCGCAATTACATTCCATCCTGCAGATAATTACAATTGTTTCTCATGCAGAATGCAGAATGTGCTGTAAGTGGTATAAGTGAGGGGTAAATCTCACACATCGTATTCAGCTTGTTGCCGTGTCTCAGCTCGTGCAGGACCGCAAGTATTTGTACAAGAACCAATAGACCAGTAGTAGAGAAAATCCAGTACAAGCTACACAGGTAATGACGCTGCTATGCATACCACGCTCTCGCTACGCTGGCAAGAGTTTCCGTAACGCGCTAGGATTATCGACTTGGCTTCTGTATTTGGATTACGCATTGGTTCAGGCGTAGCTGAATGTAAGACAACATACATTACTTCTGTTATAGACCAGCGGTGTGGTGTGATAGTGGTTGTTTGGGCAACTGCAAAGATGCGCATGTGACGGAAACAATTTGTTCCCTCGCAGTCATCGCACATTGGTCATGTTTGGTTGTCATAGAAATACAACGAAAGACTTGCGACCTCTACTACATAAGAAGCTCCTACCATTGGGAACCAGCCCGTGTTCAAGCCAGTCTCGGCTAAGCCCAAGTTCATGTACGAAAAATGTCTTGCTTAATAGCGTTCCAGGACGTCACTAGGGTCGCTTCAAATGCTTTCATTCGCGAGCCGTAATTGGTGAGAGCCAGACGTGCTTGTTCATGACATATATACGTACTTTCAAGCTGTCTATAAGGCTTGGATGTGTCGCCTTTTGTCCCAAAATCGTGGTAACTGCAGCCCAGTTTCAATGGAAGGAAGATTTAGAGGCCGACGCTCAGGAGATTGGCGAGCATCTAGCTGTAGGATGTATGCGATGCAATGGTGGAATTAATACAAAGTCATTCATAATTCCTTCGCCAGCTCATCATACTGCTGGGACATCCAGGCACCACATCGCGCTGGTATCTCCAATCAATTGAGTTGATACAACTTGAGAGCCGATGCGCATATGGCGGCCTTGGCCCTCGACAAGATTAATCTGCCTCACAACGTTCTGGCTCGCTGCGCTGTCGCCTTTTGTAGAGTAGAACCCCTCAATCAGACGAAGAACGATTTCTCGTGATTCCTTCTCATCAAGATCCTGCAGTCTGTCTAGGATGCTACGGCTTGCCACATATCAAGGAAATTGACGTCTCATCCGGTAGTCTAGCAAGATCTAGGAGATTTACCAGAAATCCGAACATCGAAGGCCAAATAAGCTTTTGGGGATAGCGCTTACTCTTAAGACGATGGCTTGACTCAGTGGCCAAAATCGCTGCAGAACATTGACATCGATGTCGCGATTGTTACGCAAGCTAAGTAAGCTATAAATGCGCTGACGACCACTAAATATTGAAGTATCATTCCGATGGTGATATTGCATGAATTAGACTTATCAATCGGAATCTGAACAGCCTTATCTAAACAATTCTTCTTGGGTTTATTCCCATTGCAACGCCCGCAATTCCCTGATGACGAGAACATTTATCTGTGTTTGGACAAGGCGGAAGGTCCAGTGCAATCTAATCAGCCATGAGGCGTTGAAACCAGCTCCTCTGATAGGCCTCTAGGATCGGGGCGCTGCTTAAACCCGAAGTCATCCACGAAGCTGGGAAAGCCACATTCCAGTGCCTTCTACCGCCAACCTTACGAGGGTCAGCACGGACGTGGGAGCGGCGACACCTGAGAATGACGGTTCGATGATCTTCGAGCGACTGGGGAATAACAGGAGAATGAACCCCGTCCCCTGGCCCTGGATCCAACGTTGGTTCATCGTGACGTTGCACTACCCTCGACCCCTGTGTCGACATCCACAACACCATGAATATTACTGCCGAAGAAATGGCAGCCAAGGCGGGCAAGTCTAGGTCCGGAGTCGTGATTGGAGTATGTGTTTCGTTGATGGCTCTGTCAGCTGTCATGGTCGGGCTACGACTCTGGTGTCGGCGGGAGAGACAGATGCTAGGGCTTGACGATGTGACTGCAGTGGTGGCTCTGGTAAGTCGAACCAAGGTCCTTCTAATCGAGATGAAGAATCTCAGACACCTTTTACTCTAGGCTTGTATTTTTGGATGCGGATCATCAATGGTTGCCAGTATGTTTCTCTTCTCTGCATCGACAACACTAGCTAAACTACGATCGCAGTGACGCATTATGGATTGGGCCGCCATATCTATATATTATCCCCTCAGCAGATAAAGCTATACCTCCGAGTACGTGGAACAGACCTCTGTCTACGTCAAGACTTCTCTAACACGTAGTCCGCAGTGCTTCTGGTTATCAATCCTGTTCTACACCTACGCGCTCTTCGCGATCAAGTTGACGTTTCTAATTCACTATTACCGAATCATGTCTATCTCCAACATGAGATGGCTATACTTGGGCGCACTCGGTTTCATCATCGTTTGGGGTACCTTCCAAGGAATCGGAGTATTTTTCTTCTGTACCCCAATCCAAGCTTTCTGGGACTCAGATGTAAAGGGCCGCTGCATGCTTTCTCAGCCTACTATGTGGCTCATCAGTAGTATCGTACACATCGTCACTGACTTTGCAATCATCGTCATGCCTCTACCCATTATCTGGAAGCTCCAACTTCCACAACCTCAGAAGATTTATCTCACTGGCATTTTCGGCCTTGGAACACTGTAAGTATTACATCTGGGTTTCCATATCATTTACTGACGTATTCTTCAGTACTCTCGCGATTGCTATTCTCCGCTTGCAGTGGCTTGACCCAGTTGCAGATATGACATGGTGGAACGTTACAGCAGCGTCATGGTCCATGGCAGAGATCGTGTCTGGAATAACTTGTGCTTGCCTTCCGACTTTCAAGCCCTTGCTGGTTGGTATCAAGAACTGGTTTCCCCAGTCGAATGACGGAGACAGCACCATCTATCTTCAGGACCAAGGAATTGAAGGTCTGGGACTTACTGGGTCAACCTTGGCTGCATTTGAGGCTCATGGAGGTGTCGGTACTGGACCGAAAGTACCCACCAGTATCTCAATGTATGGAACACAGACGAGCATATCGGCATTCCAGAGCGGAAACAAATCGAAGAGAAAGCCCGTACCGACGGTGTAGCGGTGCTATCACATCTAGATGTTGATACTTGTACAAATTTGTAATTCATAAGGAATTGATCCCGCGGAACAAAGTGATGTATAACCTCAATCAGTGGAGTCTAACATCTTTGCCCTAATGCATTGTCGATGTTTGACACAAATGCACAACCCACATATGCCCACAAGAGACAATTTCTACTACAATATATGTGCTAAAGTAAATGGAACGCAAATACTTCTCGACCTTTTGCGGATCTACACCCTCCCGCCTACAGTCAAACAATCGCCATAGGGAGAAAGGGGCGCTAATGTCATGTCATCTAGGGCGCAACTTTAGTGGAGCTCTACTCCGCCATTGCTGGCTTCACCTCTTCTCACTGTTAATTTATCCAAGAATACCTCAACTTTTATTTCACCGAAAGCATGACAATCCGCTTGATTGAAGCCTCAGAAGAGCATCTTCCTGCCATAGCTCGTATCGCAACTTCGGCTTTCCACCCAAACACAGATGCTCTATCCCGGCGCTTATTTCCCCCTCATCTACAACCGAAGGATCTCCCTGATGGGGAGGCCGCGTATGACTGGCGCTTTGCGCGCAAAGCATCCAGTCTAGCATCGTCAGAGTCTCATCTTGTTGTAGCCATTGATGAAGAGGAAGGAAAAGATGACCAGGTCGTCGGCTTCTCGCTATGGGACGCCCCTCCTGCTACTGGCGGTGACTCTGGACCTAGCAAGGAGATACAGTGCACAGCGCTCGATAGGGAGGCCTACAATGAGATGAAAAAGACTGTGAATCAAGATGCTGCCGATACCTTTGGAGACAAGGGAATCGCTGGAGTCTGGCGTATGTTTCCCACTTAACTTTCATCTGCTACAGTGACTGACCCCTCAGATCTCGACTATATTGGTGTCAGCCCAGGTAATCAGAGACGCGGTATCGGCAAGATGCTGTTACAGTGGGGTCTTGATCACGCAGCGGCGGATGGAAAAGATTGCTACTTAGTAGCTACTGAAGCAGGTCGGCCTTTATATGTGGCAGCGGGCTTCAAGGATATTCGCATTGTATCAATTCTTGGCATTCCTCATTATTCGATGATTCTGAGAGCTGATAGTTCGTGATATGCAGACGCCAGGTTGTAGAATGAGACTACAGGAATATAAACTAAAGCCTGACTTGCCATTCCTCAAGTCTTGTTTGTGAGGTGTGATTGAGTAGAGGTTGTCAGCATTATACCTACAGTCACGATAGTACTTGATGCTCCTAAATGTCAGTCTTCAGTCAAGCGTCTCGAACCCGGAGAGGATTTGTCACGGTACGATTTCTATTCCCCGGTGCTCCTTTTTCCCTGGATAAGATAAGAAGCCACGAGCTGACAGACATGTAGTCACTATACCATATCGAGAGTGGGCTATTGGCTTGGCGCAACCAATTGTCAACATTTATCAGACTATCGATTTTCGTCAGACGTTAGTGCACATGTAATTTTAAGATGCTCCACGGTGACAGCGCAAGCACTAACTAACTAACTTAGTTAGATACTTAAGCACTTCGAAACCGTTTTCCTTCAGTCATGGACTTTTACCTGCATTTTCTCACTCTTTTCCCTTTGGGTCATCACGTTCGTTACAGCGACTATCTTATCCACTCATTCTAAGATGGCATCGCAAAGACTTTTCGCTGCATTCGCGGCCCTCTCCATCCTCATTGGGTCTGAGGCTAGCCCCTGCAAGCCTATTTCTTCCACCACTGAGATTCAGGCTACATCAACCTTCTCTTCTGAGACTGAGACTGCCACTGCTAGCGACGCCACTTTCGCCACTGAGTTGACCTCAACTGAGTCGAGCTACGTCACGGATATCACCATCACTGAGAGTGAGACAGCGACATCCAGTGCAGCTGAGTCTACCGTGGTTGTTCACACTACCGAGACTTCCGCTTTCACTTCTACCACGGAAGCTGCCTCTACTACCTCAGCTGCACCTATCGAGACACTTGTCGTCAACGGGGACTTTGAAAGTGGCAGTGTTGCGCCATGGTCCAATTCCGGGCTCGGCGCCTTTGCCAACATCGACTCTTCAACAGCCCATGCAGGCTCTTATTCTCTCAAGATGGGTTCCCAGGCTAGCGAATGGTCAAACACCGTCCAAACTCTCAGCAAGTCAGCACTCGTCGCAAATGTACCTTACAGTCTTACTCTCTACGTCAAGGTCAGCTCTGGATCCTCTTGCACTTCTTTCCAGGCGCTCATCGACAACAACGACCTCAATGATTCGTTTGGACCGAGGATTAGTGTTTCTGGTAGCCAGATTGCTAGTGACTTTACTGGTCTTTCGGGCGAGTTTACCTTGACACAGAGTGCTTTGGACGGCAGCAATCCTATCCGAGTTGTCATCAGGGCGAAGTGCAGTAACGGTTACGTGGCGTGGGTGGATGACGTTCATCTGGGTATTTCGGATTGATCTTACTCATCGTCAGGAGACTGTCAGGGTCCATGGTTTGAAGGAGCAGTGGCCAAGAGCCAAGGAGCATTTTTAGACAAATATTATCATAGCAGGTCCCCTGGTTAGCAGACAGGGCTTCGCTGTATATAATTACCTATCCGCATCCTTTGATGGTTGCAAAATATAGACTTTTCATTCTCAACGTGTTATTTGGTCCCACTAACCACAACTATCTAAATTGTAGTGATAATATACAAGTCTCGCTCTCAGCGTCATGGGCCGGTGGCTGACGGAGACCAACCAGAACATGAGACAGATGAGGAAATGCAAAAAAGAAAGCCTCGCAAACGCTCGCAATCGTAATATAGGAACAGCCCGATGCGGGGGTCGAACCCGCAACCTTGAGATCCGCGTACTCGTAAGAGTCTCACGCTCTACCGATTGAGCTAACCGGGCGTGGCTCTTAATTTATGGTCGGCCAGGCTCGCAGAGCGACCAAGAACACGGCGGATGTGATTCAGTCGTAAGTGGATTCTGGGAAGTATTACTGACGGGAGATTATGTATACGGAAAGGAGCAGTCTCGGATTTCGGCGGTCTCTTTGGTTGATTGCTGATGCTCGCTTAAATCGGTGGTACAGGGTGGCCTTTTATGCTGGTGAGACGTGTAAAGTTTGCTGTGGGGGAGGGCTTCGCTGGTTCCTCGACAGAGTTCAAAAGCAATAGTCTAGGGCAATACCACCTCGCGGTGTGATTCGTGATGAACGTTTAGCGGAGAACTCAAAAGAGAAGGCGAAGGGAGCTCACTCCCATATTATCTGATCGGAAACATTGTTCAGCATAGGCTGCCAGGTTGCTAACAAAACGACTCAATTCTATCCCCCATGGCTGATGATGGTTTCCGTGCGTTAGAACTAATTAGAAGAGTAGCTATCAGAGTCAAGTTGCACTTAGGATGCCTTGAAAGCTCGATCGCCACTTGGGTCTCGGTGAGTGAACCCTCAGCTCACTACCTACTAACCTCGTACTATCAACAGAGCACCCAACAACGCTTAGACTAACCAAGCGTAAAAGGACAGGCAGAGTGAGGAGAGCTTCAGAACTTACTACATATGTCATGATCTTGTGTTCCACAGCACAAGATAAGGATGAGAAATACTACAGAAAGAATACATAAGATGACCCCTTCAGCACGGGCTTCCCACCAAAGTATATGTTCAGTAGCCCAAGAGGTCTTGGCGACTCAAATCCCTTTCACCGTGGAAGATCCAATTACGGCGACGTCGAAAACTTGTTTGTTTTGTCAATAGTACTATTCTTACCGATAATGTTTTTTATCAATCTGCCTCTATAATAAATATGTCCCATTTTTACACGCTCAGCTCGCTCTATGATAATAAACTGCGATTCTACTTGGATTTCTTGTTATATGAATTCCTCATGCAAATAAATACCCCCATAGAAGAGTCTTGGTAGAGCACATGCTGCAAATTTCAGATTATTATACTGGACAACAGGTACCACGTCCCTCCGTCGTATGTGGAATTCCAGCCCCAATCTCAGTTGTGCCTTGAACTAATGAATAAAGTCCGTTAGCACAGTGTCGGAGACTGTAAGAATCTATCGGGAAAGTGGAATATCAAGAGTTCTCGAGTCGAGTCGCCTGGATCGAAGCCAGAAACAGGGGCTCTACCATGTTAGATAAGCTCCGTGAGATGAATACCGAGTTATTTCTACCATAACATTTTCCCCATGTTACAGCTAATGAAGACAGATATGGGGAACTTGCATATAGTAAAGGTCGCTATGTGATCTCCGTGTCGGGAGATCCGGTGGTTAATTAAAATATCATGGAAGAAGAATGAAAATGCATCATGTTTGAAGATGTTGAACGGCACCAAAGCATTGTTCGCTCCATAATCTTCTAATAAAGACCATACAGGTTTAGTAGTTTAGGTGGGATATGTGGGACCTCAAAATCAGGATCAAAATATCTTACGAGTCGTATCTGTCGGCTGATAAATAAGCCGCGGCATAGTCGGAGATCCCGATACTAGATAATCCAAAGATCCCTAGTCATTCCTGGTGAGATTTTCCTGTCTTACCCGCCAATGCTTGGCGACCTGATGAATCAAGACTTCACCATTCATAACACAAGCAACTGCAGCCCAGCGGGCATCTTCAAGTCTAACATCTTTTGATTTGGGAAGATTGAATAAACACCATGCCTATACATTTTTTTCCCCTGGGCTCATTGGCTCAGAGATGAAACAAGATGGCGTTCATGTCTGGCCGAGTTTGCCTGTTTGATGTATGACGCCGGAGCTGGAATTTAATTTTCCGCCCCCTTTGCTCAACCATTCGGGTACCACGCCAAAACACGTGACGGACTGGACCGTGTTTACCGTTTACCTCATGGGTCGCAAACACATCACCACCCTTTCAATAATCAATCACATCAGCTCATCTTGAGCACATTCAGTTTCAACAAGACTCACATCCCTCATCAACTTATCCAAATTTTTCATCACTTGTCATGACGCCGAAGAACTCATCCACGCGTCATCGCGGTCGACCGCCGCCAGGCGTCAAAGCTAAATCATCACCAGAATATCCGTCTCATCGGGCTTATCACGCAGCGTCGCGCATTCATCAGCTCAGCGGAATGTGGCCAAATGAACTGTGCAAAGGCTTTGTTCCTGACATGTGGGGGATTCGACTCATCGAAGGTCTCTCTGCGCTGGTGTCGCTCGTGGTGTCCAACAGAGTCGATATTGAAGAGGTGCGACGCAGACTGAAAGGCCATGCGAACCACCATCCGCGCACAAAGTATCCCCAGCTTCGCAAATCCGATATCCTCAAAGTCCGGAAGTGGCTTCGTGGTATGGGGATTGACACTAAGCACACAAATCCAAATGAGTCTACGACGGTGAATGACCACCAGAGCGACGATGAGATGGGCTACAGTGACGCGACTGAAGCAGACTCTGAACCTGTTGATGAAATTGTAGCTTTGGGTTTGCCCGAGGATCAGATGGAAGTGGATACCGATGAAGAGGAGGATGAGAATGAAGAGGAGGAGGAGGCTGAAGAGCAAGTTGAGGAACGGGGGCAGGTTCAAGAAGAGGAAGGTGAAGAACAAGAAGAGGAAGGGGAGGAGGAAGAGGAGGAAATAGAGGAAGTTGAGGAGCTGGAGGATGAGAATGATCTCGACTGGGCTGCGCCAAAGAAACAGAGTACGCCCCGAGAAAGACGTCGTTCACCAGCCAAAGAAGTTGTCGAGATCGACGATGACGAGTCGGATGAGAAAACGGTGGTAGATCCAGGCGATGACGGCTTCATGCCGAACGACAGTCCAGAGCCCGTACAGTCAAATGGCCAATCTGGACCTGATCACGGAACATCAACACCCAACTCTGTATCAGCAGCCTCACATCGTCCGCGGCGCAGTATCCAACAGCCATCTCGATTGGTTTCAGATACACCCAGGAGCTCTGTTCGACAAAGCACTGGCTCAGAAGAGTATACGTCTGCGACTCTCGCTGTTAGGAGTCCGCCGGGTTCGCAACAACAAACACCAAGTTCTCAAGTACCGGTGCCTAAACCTGTAACGGTTCAGGGCCATATGCGCCCTCCTCAACAACCTACACCAACTACCTCTCCAGCAAACACGATGCAGAATTTTGTCAAACCTCGCCCACAATCACATACAGCAGTGCCTCTTCCTCCAATCCCCGGTACTAAAAGTGCAACGCAACTCCAACGATCCAATAGCCAGCCATTGGCTCCAACCTCCGCTTCAAATTCTCAAAGCTCCGCAACTCCCCGCACACAAGTCAGCTCTCAGCCATTGGCGTCGCCCCGCACCAGTGTTATTTTTTTGACTCCTGAGCAGCAACCAGGCCCCTGGTCATCGGCATCTAATCCCGTGGCTCCTCAAGGGGCTTACAACCAATTGACGCGTAGTCAGCAACCGACGCCTCATCACCTGGCTCCATCTCGGGGCAATAAGCGCCCGGCTGAATCATCACCAACAGCATCATATACGAGTCATACTCAAACGAACACCTCACGATCTGGAGCAAAGAGGCAAAGGTCATCTAATGCTCTACCGCATCGGCAGTCTCAATCGTCTAGAGCCATCAACTGGGACGCAGTTTTGGTGAGAATCTTCCCTTCTAAGTTCTAACCTTTCTATCATAATCTAACAATTTGTAGCCCTCTGGAGACGAGTTCAAAGAAAGTTTGAAAAATGCTTCCGATGCCATAAAGCCAGTTCTCCACAAGTTCGAAGAGCTATTAGCCGACATCAACGACGAACAACGCAGGCTCTCTACCGTTCAGAGCAGCCTTTTCCAGAAAAAGAATGATTACGCAAACGACCAAAAGAAAGCCCAGGACGCTCTCAAAGACGTTGAAAAGTCCACGGCCAACGAAAACACAACGCTCAGAGGTCTTGAGGAAGTTTACCAGCAGAACCCCGGGGATGCTGAGCTCCGCACCTTCATCAACAAGCGGAAACAGACTATTCTCGAGCACAAGGAGGTATATGTGATTGTCAAAAGCCAGCTCGACAAGAGCATCGCTGGGATATACAAGACCGATCATGAGATTGCGCTTGTCACTAAGAGACTGGGACAGCTTGATGCTGAGAGAACAGAGGTTCTGAGAGAGAAGGAGGGTGTTGACAAGGCGGCGAAACGGGTGACGATCATGTCGAAATTCATGGAACCTTCATGGCAGGCTACGCTGGATATGCTTCTGCAGTCTGTGGGCCCTGAAGTTCTGGAGAAGGCTTTCTGAGAGGGATATTCATTGTTATGGGTGCATTTCGAATGTTTAATACCTAGGGCAAAGGCTTTATCAAGCAGGGCGTTTTCTCGGATGGGATACCTTGTATGTTTATAGTATAGTGTAATCAAAATGCTTCAAACCTCTATAACCGCTGGAACGACACTATTGTCAAGCTGTAAATGTATAAGGCGTAAGAAACTGTTTCAAAAGAGGGAAGCTGCGTAAGCGAATGAACAGTAGTGTGCTTATGAGTCTGTTGACTTTGCTGGTAGTTTTTGTGCCTGATGAGAACCTTTGTCCAAGAGTCCTTTAGAATTTTAGGAGTGCCCCTGCAGAACTATACCAAAGCTAGGAGATATTTAAATAAGGAATTTTAATATTTTTGTGACTTAAATAAGACGCAAATCCTTGACAAACTGGTGTATGCTTCAGACATACCCTCCTTGTTTGACACCATCCTTCAAGAGGTAATGTGACGCTTCCCCGCACATCGGGCACTCATGATAAGCCCAAGCTGACAAACAGATGATACCAGATAGCCAATTGCTCTGATTATAAGGTCACGCAACTCAAATGTTTATCACCACCTTCATTAAGAGATAGGTCAGACAAAGGGTCAACCTTGACTATAATGCCCTTCCAGCTGAAAGATCCGACGCTTGCTGAACCTCCAGTAGGTGCATATCAGCTGCGGCAAACCGGCTTGAGTGCCGCCCTTACAGCATCAGTCCAAGAACGAAAGAATTTGTAAATGAATAGCACTTCTGAGATGAATCACAGTTACTATTAATCACTTTGTGAACCTTTACGTTGTGGGTGCGACAGTACCCTGTTGGTCTATTCCCAGGTTTTGGGGCAAAGATGAGGCCGGGAAACTAATTCCCTGAACACAATTATTGTCAGCAAACCAGTCCCATGGTCCTCAGAGACGCAGTGAGCTCATGGAGTCGAGCTAATATCTCGTTGGCATGGGGTTGACACGCGGTGGAAGACCTTAGGAATTGCTGACTTCGACCTTTCGCAGCTTTCTTAGAAGGACATGCCATTCGGAGTCACCGATTCGTGGCAGGATGTTAGTTGCCTTTGACAGCATGGCTGACGCATGGAGCGTTAATTCGAAATTCGATGTTTTCTCAAATGGCTAATTCTGCAAACGGATGGAGGTAACCAAGGAGTAGTCCTCGTTTCTGCTTAGCGAAAATCCGAGTCTGTCCACTGATTCCTTTATGTATATTGGGGGCTTTGGTGAGCTATTAGATTATCTTACGTGAGGGCACTGCGAAGTTTGCCTCATAGCCTTTCCAATAATATAAAGTCATTTGGAAGGGTATCCCAGCTCGCATTGTTGATAGCAACCTCGTAGTCCCATGTTTGATGAGTACCTCCCAGGAAAGCCAGTGGACTCCCGCTGCATCAATATGTGCTACCCACTTCTTAGGACTGTCATCTCTCTGATGGCAAGGATACCGAGGTTATCCCAGGTGAAACAGGCATCGAGGGGAGGGTTGTCTACGCAAGCGCCACCACTCGTCGTGACGGGGATCTTCGAGTTTCCATTGAGGCTATCTTTGCTACTTTTGATCAAGATCAACCGCCCGGGAGTCAAGGCCTGTGGGTTTCCTTATACCACCAGTGGATTGTCCAAGAGCATAACACTGCCTGTGGAACGACAATCTGCGTACTTGTGGATGTATAGCTTCGTTATGAGCCTCGCGAAGATGTAGTCAGAGCTCTGGGCCCACCTTGCGCCCATCTTGGGATCTTGATGCGTAGGCACGTGGGCGATTCGTTATTTGAACTGGTTTATCGCTTTAACTTTGGTGTAAAAATCGACAGTACTTTCCCATTTCCCGTAGAAGTCACAGTTGTTCTCGAGAGCCTTGTAAGTGTGAATGAAAATGAGAAGGTCGATACCAAAATCACGAGCCTCAATCCAGCGGGTGTCATCTCATTTACCCAGACTAGTCTAATGCAATTTCACGTAGTCGTTGACGGTGTTCTCTTTGTACCTCCGTATCGGCCTTCAGACTTGATCAGCTGGCGTCATGGTGTGATCGAGAGTTTCTTATCCTCAAGCTATAAAGGATCAGTGAACTGAATCAGTTGATAGATTTCGAATATCCCAAGGCCTAGCACTTCAACTATGATCTGAATACAGTCCTCGCTTCTTTAGGCTGCCACATTTACGGCACCTTCTGCGTCTCCACTGACAGTCATACTGTTAGCGTTTTGCAGCAAAGTACAATTTGTGTTGGTGATACCTCATCGGTTATAAGCAAGAATCTTTAATATCCTTTTCTTACTTGGAATACTCGCCGTTGTCCTCACCTCAGTTTGCATTACCACGGTTATCACAAACTCATTGGCGGGTGCGTCCCTTGCCTTTGCAGGCGTCAACGCTGGTCCATACCATCCTTGATTATCGATGCCTTCTACTTGGAGTGAGGCCACTACTACCATCACACGCAACGCCAAACTAGTAGCTTAAGTTGTCATTGTGGTAAGTCATTGCTTAAATACTACTAGAAGTCATATTGCAAGCAGTTTCCGTCGAAGCTGTATCGCCGTGGTAGTGATCAAGATGTATGAGTTCTACCTGTGAAATCAATACGGCGATGCATCTCTTTCTATCAAAACAGCATCGTCAAGAGAGAAAGTCACAGAAGCGCAAATCATGCTCACATAAACATAGGGTCCAGCATCAAGCTGAGCTTCATTCCAAGTGCAGCTAACAGCTCCCAAAGCCCATGTATCCAAGGGCCCCCCAAACGAGCCCGAACCAGCGTCGGATGGGCCTGCACCACATCCCAACCTCTGGACCGTACAAGCACTAGACGCTGTGGTCTTTTGAAAAATTGAAAAGCGATACTCTTTTCCGACGGTGATCTTGGAAGGGTCAATATCTTGTGTGACGGACCAGTCATACGGTTGGATAAGCCTGCGCGTGAGTCCTGTAGGCGGCACTGAAGAATCGAAAACGCCGCACTGGAGTGATCCTGGGCGAGATGTATCGCTGTGAATTGATAGCCACCCGCGATTTGCGACCTTTTCTGTCTTCCAGGGCGCAAAGGTAGGGTCTTCAAAACCAGGGTTGCGAATTAAGTTGGTGGCTTGCTGCTTAACAGATGTCGTCGTCGCGGGTGCCTCACTAATTGATGTCTCAATTGAAGTTACTGCTAAGGTCGTAGAGACTGAGGGCTTAGATAGCGTGGCGCTTTCGGCAATAGTTGTTGTCTCAGAGGAGGTTATGGTTGACGATTCTGTTTCTATTTCTGTTTTTGTTTCTATAGCCGAAGCTGATGAGGGCGCAGTTGTCGATGTGACAGACTCGGTCCCTACGGAAAGGATACTGGAAGACAAGGCCGTAAATGTAGCAGACTCTGTCGTTATGGAGGTTGTCGACAATATGTCTGTACTGGCCGTCTCAGCATGACCAGAGCTGGAGGCACTGGTAGAGGTAATGGAATTGGCAGTCGGAGAAGAAGGCTTGCATGGTGAGGACAATGTCAGCTCGCACAGCGCCAAGAGCTGAATGAATGGGTGCGTGAGTCTCATAACCACGATCTCGATGTCCTGGCGGGACCGAGATGACACCAGAAAAGAGAAGCCGCCAGTGCAGGAGGTAGCCAGGGAAGAATAGCGAGGAGCCAGGCGCAATTAAGCATAAGAGCTCGCGCTAAATTAGCTTGAACAGCAAATTAGTTCAGCTCCGCGGACCAAATTTTCTTTTTTCTTACTGTTGGTAGTTGCTCTATTGCTCAACGTCTATTGTAGAACTATCGAATGTGGCGTTGCTGAATTGAACCTCGGACCAACATGCACCCCTGGCCTTGTGGGCCTCCACCATGAGAAGATACAGGAAACAATTGTTCATCAGCTTGCAGTGCTCTTTGGTTTAGTGAATATACAACTCAAACCCGTTGTATTATCCCAAGCACAGTTTAAACTAATCCGATGCCTCAGTTGCCACCAGAGAAGCATCGTCAGCCAGAAAAGTCAGAGCATTGCAGACTCCCGAGACCTGAACACTCGGCCCAGCATCTAGGGCAGCCTGACTCCACGAACAAGTGACCATTGTCAATATCCAGCCATTCGCCTGCATGGCACCCCAATTCGCCGAGTTAACGAAACCTGTTCCTGCGCCACATGCAATTGTTTGCGAGATGCAAATGTTGGAGGCTGTAACTTTGGTATATACAGAAAAGCGATACTCTTTATCGACGACGATTAAAGATGGATCAATTTCCTGTCCGATGCCCATGTTGGCGAGGTTTTGTCCAGAGGCGCTGAATTGCCCTGCTTGGGTTGATGGGGGAATGCCTGACTCGCTGTCTATACTCAAGGTTCCGATGTTGTTGTATACGGTCCAAGGCGCGACGGTTGAGTCTTCAAACCCAGGATTTCTGATCAGATTGGTAGGTCCAGATGCGGCAGTGGTCGTGGTCGTGGTTTCAGCCTCGGCGCTGGAGGTCGCAGCGGAAGTGGTGATGGTATATGGCTCTGTCTCGCTGACCTCAGTGGTGCTTGCGGGCGCCGCGGAAATGACAGTCGAAGAAGAAGGCTTGCATGGCGATGCTGACGCGATTTGGCACAGCGCCAAAAGCTGAAGAACTGAAGATGTGAATTTCATGATAACGGTAATGACAGTATGGATGTTGCGAAAAGAGAGAACAAGGCGTCACGACACTCGTGGTAATGGGGAAACATGTTGCCTAAAAATGCGCCGCTTCCCTCTTTCAGCTTCGATGCATGTTCGGCAAAGAATTCCTCCTTTTCTTAATCGTGAAAGCAGTGTAGCTCGGTCTTGGTGTTGCCAAACTATTGAATGTGGCGTCGTTGGGACCAACAATCTCCCCTGTATTCTCGAGATTAGTGGGGTTGTGGAAATGAGACTCAGGGCTGTCGGTTCAACTGCATGTTTCCTTATCGATTCGCATTTCAGACTTGCTTTATCCTTTATATGCAGTTCTCTATTATTAGATTCTCACTAGAGATTCATGTATACATCAAAAGTTCAAAAGAAAAGTCCATGATATCATGTTTTACCGGTTTCTTTTGGTAAATACTATCATTTGATCATGGCCGTCTGCAGTAGAAAACAGTAACCGACTACAAAGCTCTCACATTAAAGAACAGCCTCTTTTTACTCTTTCAATTTCGTAAACTTGATCAGACATTTAGATTCCTAGAAATAGTCAGTCGCACACCATGATAACCAGAATGAAGAGAAGGCTAACCTGAACCTTGGGGAATCGATCATCGTAGAAAGTCTCGACACGAGCTGTAATGGCAGGTGTAGTATCCTCGAACCCTGGAGCAATTGTCGTTCTAAACTGTCGGTACATGGTAGCTGTGAGTGTTGTCATCTCAGCCATAGCAAGACTATTCCGTGTTAGTAGTCAAGACTCGACGACCCTGCATGGAGAGAAGCAACTTACTGCATGCCAATGCACATCCGCCCTCCACTTGAGAATCCCCAGAACCATCGGTTCAGCTCCGCCGCATCAGATCCAAGCCATCGATCAGGGTTGAAGACCAAGGGATCCTTGAATACCGACTCGTTGCGATGCATGATCCAAGGCGACATGCCGACGACAGTATTACCAGGAATAGTAAATCCGTCAATAACCGAATCAATATCCATCGAACGAGGTTCAGTGCTTGGTAATGGAGCATAGAGTCGCAGAGTCTCCTTGATGACGGCGTTGATGTACGTGCATCGATCACTTGCTTCGGCTCTCGGATTGCCCCATTGGTTCAGTCCATCGCCTGAGATGGCCATGACTTCTTCTCGCAGCTTTTCCTGATACTTCTCGTTTCCTGGAAGTGAGAGCGCCCAAACAAGGAACATGAGGGTGTCGCTAGTGGTGTCGATGCCAGCGAGGAAGTGGTCAGCGCATTCGGATGCCATCTGCAAATCGCGGAGTCCACCAGGTTTCTGAGATTCATGATGTTGCCAGAGATTTTCCACAATTGAAACATGCTCGTCTGCCATCTTTGTCAGTTGGCTGTATATAGAAGCCATAAACACCACTTACCCTCTGAATGAGTGATCTTCTCCACATCAGCTCGGAAAGCCTCGAAAGCCCGCAGAGCATATCCTCGGATGCCGGTGTATGTAGTAGGCTGCTGCATCGGAAGAACGGGCTTGACAAGTTGACCCATCAATCCTGATTGACGATACAGCCATTGAGTCAAAGTCTTCAGATGCAAGATGGACCAAGAAAGCCTTCGACGAGAGGGATGTAGAATGTCCGCGATAAGTTCTCGATGAATCCTTGAGCCTCGAATCGCTGCAGTCTGGCCATACTTTCCGTAGACAAAAGCGGTGATGTTGTCCAGCGAGTAATAATGCAGAGTGCTGAAAATCTCACTGACGTTCTCAGGTTCAGCTTCAATCAGATCCAAGTACTGACGAACCCTCCTCTCGACCATTTTCGCGGTCGGCGGCTTGAGAACTACAGACTTGGAATAAGCGTGTGATAGCAACTTCTTCCTATCACCATGTTCCTTGGGAGAATGAAATGTGAATAGGTTCTGCTCGCCATAGACATCAAACATGCGATAGAAATTGGTTCGGCCATATCGGCTTCCGGGTCCGTAGATGGATCGCAGTGCTGAGAGGCTGTTGAACGAGACCTCATGAGGACCGATGCGCACGACTGGTCCGTATTGTTGATGGAGTTTAAAAATGGTGCGAGTCCGCGTTCCTTTCCAATCCTCGTAGGCTAGACGCCATTTTGTAGAGGCGAAGGATTTGGGGCCGGGGACGTGGCGAAGAGGGCTGAGGATGAGGGGATCGAGAAAGATGTGCTTGATGAAGAGCACGACAGCGAGCGCTGCTGCCACAATCGGGATGATGGCCATATTCCTATCTGTAGCGACAGCAAAGGAAGAATTAAGTGTCGATACGGAACCAAGCAAATGATATACGTTAAATATCAAGGTTCTTAACTGGTCAATCAAACCCTCGTCGGTCCGTCAAATCGGTAGTGAATGTGATGCCCCGCACATGATACAACTTGTTGCGCCAGGGCGTAGACTATAGAGCAAGGGCGCGCCTTTTTCTACCTACAAACAGATCATCTGAGCAACCGGCAGATAAAGACCGCAGTGGATCTGATAGACAACTTGGCACTGGACTCAATGTTTATCAGGGCGGAGAAAGGTCATGATTGCCGGTGCGCGGAGGCCTTGGACCGACGGGGCTCGGCAATTGAGGCCGTTGCCGGGGACTAGACTTGATGCAGGTCTTGGAAACTGGAGAAGATGCTAACTGAACCAATTAGACATCAGACATTCCAAAGATTGGCTTATCTGATAAGGGCTTCATGATATGCCCCGCGAAGGGATGGCCGATTGATCATAGTCAGATAAACAATCGGACACATCTACGAGGGTGAATTGATTGCCCTTGAGCGTGAGTGTCAGTCATTCAAGCGTGAGTATCTATACAGATTCTGAAACTGGTCCAAGCAACGTGAGCTAAAGGAACGCAGACGAGGATCGTGGTCTTAAGAGATGGCACAAGACGGGTTTCGTTCCAGACGACATCTGTAGAATAGAGACTACTTAAGTGTGACCTGAGGTCAATGAAATACTACTCAAATATTGCCTCAATTACCAGATGGAAAAAATGGAAAGCTCGGTGTTCTCGTACCCTTATTGGCGAGTTTATGTTAAGTCTTTACAAAGCAGATTTGTATTCACCAAACTGTCTGCTCGCCAACTACTGTGAACCGTTCAATACCATATACGTAGTTCGAGACTGGCGATTGAGGTTACTTGTCCAATAGACGCCCCCCCTCATCACGACGTAGCTATAAGGCTGGGTCCGCCTGCGCTTAGCATGCGTTGTGTCTGCCGTAGAGTGTACCCGCCTGCAGAGATCATTCTTTTTTGTAATTTAGAACTCCAAGCCAGCCATCTTATGCTCAGCTCAGCCATATTAGCGCGATCAAAAAGCCTCGGTATTATGGGCGGCTGGGTGGAAAGAGAAACAGTATTGTGCTAGCAATGTTATTGGGAATCAGACACGAAAACAGGATCCAGAAATGCCGCTCAAATCAAGGCCACCGCGCTATAAGAGCCGTTGTACTTCAGAGGCTCATGTTGATGCTTCTTTGGTCCTCTCAACATCTTGCGAACAGCCCCAGCGGTGTACATCAAGAATGTCACCAGACCAACCACGCTATAACCAATAATGAGCTTCATGGATGCACCAGCAAGCTGCAAGCCGAGCCCACCGTTGACAATTCCAAGGATCATTAGAGCTCTCCCGTACCAGATGTGAGCGTGGCTGATGCCTGTTCGGCGCTGATGCTGGACAAAGTTCCTGTGATGCAGCCATCCCAAGATTGGCTGCACGGCTATCAAACCGCAGACGACCGTGCCGATGATGACATGAGGAGCGTTGAACCACTGAAAAATAGTTAGTGAGTACTTCAAGAAGATAGGCTTGGCTAATTACATCGCCGCTACGGCCAGCAGCCAACTTGCCGGTAACGAACCCAGCCCACATGCCGATAAAGACGATCATCTGCCACGTTGCGTGGATGAACCACTTTCCGATTATAGGCATCAACAGCGATCCCAGCGGCTAGCCCAATAGAAAGACCACCGACATGATGATACCGTGGATGGTGCTGGTGTTGCCTTCTCCCCCACCACCAGACGCTGCACCACTCGGTATAGCAGTCGTCATTTGAATGAAGGGGTTACTGTTGGAGTTCACAACAGCCAAGGAGAAGTCAACTGAGAAGCTGTTGTATCCGTCATGTTCTTCAATATCAGCATCAATATCGGTCGTATGCAAAGAACTTCCAGTCTTCCAAGCACTGATCCAGTGGTTGGATCCTTTGAAGCGCATATTTCCGAGATCGCCACAATGGATGCTGGCAACCATCGTCTTGTTCACGACACCACTGCCCTCGATGAGTCTCACAGAGCGCATGCGGCTGTGTTCAGGCATCTCATGGCCATGGCCCATCCTCGTGCTCAGGGTGACGTTGCCAGTACCGTCTTGGTAGATGACCAACATGGTGGAGCCACTCATCTTATCACCTGTGCCGAGACCGACCCATTGGTATTCAACTGGGGCTTGAATGCGGATGAACAAGTTGCCAGAGCTGGACGAGGCTGTTGAGGATGCAACGGCCCAGGTGTAGCATATCTTGTTGGATTTGCCGTTGCAGTATGACGTTGGGGATGCTGAGGAACCCGGCAGTGATTGAGTTTCCGACCATGGACATCAGCGAATGATGCTCATCGCTCGCAATCTAGACAGACCGTAAGCACTGTATTCCGAACTCGCGCGTGACAAGCTCTATGCCGTGGACACCTCCAAAGCAATTGGGCAAAGGCTATTAGGATCTTCGGTCTCAAGCTGAAAACACGCTCGGGGAACCTTAACGTACAGCCCAGTTTCAGCAGCCAATTGGGAGAGGTATCATATTATTGTACCTTGTAGTGATACAGAGGCCTTTCGGAATCGGCTGCTGCTCGTCAAGATTGAAGATTACATCGCAGCTGCATTTCCCTGGCACGTTATGCAGATAATTTATGGGAGGACGAGGGGCCATTGCAAAGATGGTCTCTTCCATCACTTGACATACAGAACATCAAAATAGGCAATGGGCACATAAATACCATGTCGCTTGGGCTCGGGATATTCCGAGAGGTCGGTGGTGGAGGGAGACAGTGTAAAGTCTATGTTGCCAACGATATCACAGTGAAAGAAAGCAAGTGACTCAATTCTTGATCAATGTAGGAGATGTTCCATTTCTCGAAGGTAAGAGCAGAAAGAACCTACGTCTACTAGTTTCCCCATCCGCGGTGGTCGCATAACTATTCTACGGCCGCCACATAAATCCAGGATGCTTCCAATCCATAACACGAATCTCGGCATCCGTCTTCCCAGCCAGAGCCTGACCGACCTCAATCGCAGCTCTCCTTCTGTTATCCCAAGTCATGTAAACTTGTAGTACGATGGTAAGAAGGAAGATAGACGAGCACGCGCCGAGGTTGAGCCCATTGCCGATTGGATAGTTTGGTCCATCGAAGGGCAAAAAGCACCATGTCGAGATCAATCCTCCCACGTTACCAAGCATGACGTTCAGACCGATTCCTGAAGCGCGTGCTGTGTCGCTGACCAAGTTGGCTGATACTTGAGCATTAGACAGAGCACCGTTGGCAAAAGTGCCTGCGCAGATGAGGAACGTGCCAGCGTAGCGGACATAAGCTGAAATGAGTCAGTCAATGTCCGAGGACGGAGCGAGGCTTGAACTTACGGTTCGTAGTGCTGAGGAACATGATGTATCCTGTGATGACTGGAAGCTGTGACAAGTTGATAAAGATATTTCTCTTATCAATGCGAGTCGACAAGAAGCTGATGGTGACGGTGCAGAAGGTACCGACGATATAAGGCGGCACAGTACGCAATTGCTGTTGAACGACTGAATGGTTGGGGTAGATTGTCCTCACAATGGTGGGTGCGAAGAAAGCAAGGCCCTGCACGGTGATGTTGGTGAACAGGAAGATGGTGGAAGTTCCGATGGTAACAGGCGAGCTGATACCCCGACGCGCCAGTTTCCAGGAGAACTTCTCAAGGACTTCGGTGGCACCAACACGCTCAGACTTGATGCGCGCAATAGCGAGGTCCTTCTCCTCTTCTGACAACCATCGTGCAGTGCTAGGCCGATCCGTCATGGTAAAGAAGGCAATGAGCGCCAGTCCAATAGTGCAAATACCCTCAATAGCAAAGATCATTCGCCATCTTGTCAAAGAACCAAAGTGGTCTAACTTCAGAATACCAGAGGCCAGAAGACCGCCAAACGCTCCGCCGAAGGAACCCATGGCGACGTATATAGCCAAGCGGAACGCAAGTTCGCTGCGTCTATACCAGCGGCTGAGGTAGTATGCGATACCAGGCAACATGCCTGCTTCGAAGATGCCGAGGATGAAGCGCACGGCACAAGCTTGGCCCATTGTGTGAACGAAAGCGGTTCCGAGAGAAGCGACACCGAAAGCTACAGAGGTTGCAGGGATGAACCAGCCCGGTCCTATCCATTTGCAGACCATGTTGAGGGGGAGTTCGAAGACAATGTAAGACTAACAACCAGATCCATGTCAGGGTGACGCTTTAGTAGATAAGGGGTAGTACGTACGATGTAGAAGACTGTGAGCAAAATGTTGTAGTCATAACCGGCAAGACCGAGATCTTCCTCGAGTCCGGCCAACCGAGCATTACCAATATTGGCACGGTCAACAAAGCACATCAAGTACAAGATAGTGACTGATGGCATGATATACCAGTCCAGCTTACGACGAAGCTTCTTCTCAGCCTCCGCGTCGAAAGTTGCAATGGGATTGCCATGCCTAACAACGTCAACGGGGCTCAAACAAAGGGGCAGTCCACTTACTCGTCAGTGGCAAGATGTCCTCTCGCAGCAGCATCATGAGCATCAGCATGCTCAAATTCTTTGCTCCAAGGCTCCTTTCCATTGCCTCTCTCTGCATCAGAATCTCTTGAAGTCATGATGATATACAGATTCGCAGATGTCCTGAAGATGGCTGTGACAACAAGAACAGCTGTCGATCAGGGAGAAGCGAGCCGTTTAATACTGGCTCTGGTAAGCGCCATGTCCAACCTTGAGCGAGCCGATAATGCATGCCAAGAGTGAGGGGGAGTCGATAGTGCATCGGATGATGGACCGAACAGTGTCGGATACCGGGTTGAGGTATGATTCTGGACGAAAAGAGTAATCAGTAACAATCTAGGGAGGTAATTGACCAGTAGGAATAGTTCTATTTAGCATGGGTAGCAAAAGATAAGCTTAACCATGGGGGGAGAATCTGGGGAATCAGATTGTGGGGGAGACCCGCTGGCGGCTAAGGGATCATCACCGTCACTGCATTTGAAGGGGTATATCCGGTGATTGACCTTGTCGCTCAAATAACCCCTGGTTTGTCGCCTTTTATCTGATAAATCTCTTGTATCTTCTCCATACCACCATGAGATACAAAGATTGTATGATTCCACCGCGGTCATATTTGCTCGGCACCCACAGTCAAGGCTCTCCAAGCGTCAAAAAATAGACACTCGGTTCCGAGCACCACGAAGATTTTTAGATATGGTCAGCCTGCCATAACACGTCTTTGTCAAATACCTTCAGCGATTTGATATTGATAGTTATAATTTATTGTGCTAGGCTGTGATGTCGGTGTTTTCCCGACGTGTTTCCTCGCTCCACATGATGGATGAGACGCGTCAGTTTGTCTTGTGCATCACCATGCCTGGGCACTCTATCAGGTAGGCCATGAGAACTGCCAGTGCAGAAAACAATGTCTTGAAAATTCCAGTCTCCCATCTTCCAAGTTCACATCCGTAAGCTTCTGTTATGACGCGATCTTATCTTTGATGTTGTCAGTCAAAGCGCGTCTGCTGCGCGTTGAACCAATTTTGTTGTGGCGCCTTCCGAGTGCAAATCATTTGACAGTCACTCTTCAACAGACTTTTACAATCTATAAATCTCTTGCTCTACCAGATCGACATTGTAAATTTTATTGTCTGTTTATATATGCCATAAGCTCATCGCGTCGCATTGAGTAGGAGGATAGAATTGGTACGACTCGGCAATCCGGCCAACAACTCCTATTTATAGTAAAATGATTCTGCTATCCTTTCACGAGTGACTAGACTTGATATTGTCTTTGTCCAGATGTCTAGGTGGCTATGGTCTTGTGTTGGAGCGGTACCATATGTGGACGTGTACTTCAAACTTGTACACTTGCTTCTGCCTTTTGGCAACTGTTTTCATGATTTGCTCTTGCATCAGGTCTTCCCATCATCCCCGCATGACTCTTATACAATTTTCTTTATCGACTTGGTAAGACAATATTAGTGATGCTATTACTCCAAGAGCAAGTCCCAGGCAATGTCTAAATAGCCTCAGTTCGGGATCTCAAGTGTACGAAAATTCAATGGTGCAGGGTAATCAAACTCCCTCTTTCAGAATTGGAGAAATCTAGAACCTGGTAGTGTAAGTACCCATACCTCAAGCGTGCACTAGATCTAGGGGCTGTTGAAGTACCCATACTTGCTCCTCCAAGTTTTCGTGACCCACTGGAATGGGGGACACGCGACAGCTAGAATTTTTAATTTTTACGCGGGGCCCCAGGTTCTTCTGACGAACCGTGGGCGCTGAGCGCGTAACGTAGGTAGCCTAAACCCAGTAGCCAGCGCAAAGAACCCCCCTTTTGGGTAAATGAATGAATGACCAATGCCAACTTGAAAGTCCGCTTGGACGGTTTTGGAGGTGGTGCAGTTGGAGATGTCTCGTGTTTGATGATGTTGGAGTACCTAGTATCATGGTGGCCAGCAGTAAATTGAGGACGTAGAACTTCATCCATTGCAGTCGGCGTGACGCAATGGAAGAGCACCTGTTGAGGAACAAAAAAGTAAAGTATACGTAAAGGGAGCCTCAAGAGTTGGTACTCAGTGATCAGTCTCCAATTGAAGATGTCATCACCCCCCAAATCTCTCTCACTCGCCTCCGGCACTCGCTCGCCGGTGGTGGTCAGACCAAAACCCACACTATTCCCAAACGAGGGGTTTTAGCCTACCACTTTCTCACCCATAACATCTCCGTAGTAAACTCCAGAAAACTAAATCCCCCAGTCAAATTGCCTGGGGTACAAAAATGTTTAAAAGACTCGGACTTTCTCCCCATACCCCAGATTTCATCACATCAACCTCCCCCACAGCCTCGTCCTCACTTCACCATGTCTACCTCGGACGGTCCTTATACCTTGGAGCCTACAGCTCCCAAGAAGACTATCTGGAAGTCTATTCGGGAGAACCCAAAGGTCATCTTTATTGCCTTTTTTGCCTCGTAGGTACTCCTCAGGTAACATGTATAAGTGGCTGGTTTATTGACTGATATAGACTTGGTGGTTTTGAGTATGGTTACCAACAGGGTGTTTTGGGTCAATCCCTCGTCATGACCCGCTTCACACAGAACTTCCCCTCTGTTGTTAAGTCATCCTCTGCAACAGGATGGCTCACATCTATCCTCCAGCTGGGCGGTATTCTTGGATCGCTTTCAGCTGGTGTTTCTAGCGAACTCATCTCGCGAAAGTACACCATGTTCATTGCGTGCTTATGGGTCGTTGTCGGCAGTTATCTTTACGTCGGTGCAACTGCAGGAAACCCCCAGCTTCTCTATGCTGGTCGTTTCTTGACTGGTGTTGGCGTTGGTCTTTTCAGCGGTGTCGGACCTCTCTATAACGCTGAGCTTTCTTCGCCTGAGATGCGAGGTCTTCTTGTGTCGTTTTACCAACTTGCCACTATTTTGGGCATTATGCTTTCGTTCTGGTGCGGTTATGGAAGTAACTACATCGGAGGAACAGGCGACTCTCAGTCCGACCTCGCCTGGCGTCTTCCCTCTATCATCCAGGGTATCCCCGCTGCTATGCTGGCTGTTGGTATCTGGTTCATGCCTTTTTCTCCCCGATGGCTCGTCAAGGTCGGCCGCGATGAGGAAGCCAAGTCTACTCTTGCCTGGATGCGAAAGCTCCCCATCGACGACGACGCTGTTCAGGTTGAGTATCTCGAGATCAAGGCTGAGGCAGTCTTTGAGCAGAAGGTGTTCGCTAGAGACTTTCCCCACCTTGCTGAGAGGGGCAAGAGCCGCTTCATGCAGCAGATTGCTCAATATGTGACTTGCTTCCGATCAATGGATAACCTCAAACGTGTCTGCACTGCTTGGCTTATCATGTTCTTCCAGCAGTGGTCTGGTATTGACGCTATCATCTACTACGCTTCCAACGTCTTCATTAGCCTGGGTCTTACAGGAGGAACTATTGCTCTTCTTGCTACTGGTGTGACTGGCGTTGTCTTCCTCATCAGCACCATTCCTTCTATGGTAAGTTGCTCAATCACTCAATGCCCTGAATGTATGCTAACGCTGCCTCTCACAGTTGATCATTGATCGCGTTGGTCGCAAGCCTCTTCTTTTGATCGGCTCTGTGGTTATGGGTGCCAGTATGGTCACTGTCGGTATCATCGTCGCCAAGTTCCGCCACGACTGGCCCAACCACGTTGCTGCCGGTTGGACTGCAGTTGGTAAGTCAATACTTCATTTCACAGTATGTTATTATTACTAACACCAAATTAGCTCTCATCTGGGTCTACATCGCTGGCTTTGGCGCTACATGGGGTCCCGTCTCCTGGACTCTCGTCTCCGAGATCTTCCCCCTCTCCATCCGTGCCAAGGGAGCTTCCATCGGTGCTTCAAGCAACTGGGTCAACAACTTCGCCATCGCCTTTTTCGTTCCTCCCATGCTCGAGTCTTGGGAATGGGGAACCTACATCTTCTTCGCCGTCTTCCTCTTCGTCGGTATTCTCTGGGTCTGGTTCTTCTTGCCCGAGACCAAGAATGCTTCTCTCGAGGAGATGGACCGCGTCTTCAAGAGCCGCGCTGGTGAACAGGATGCTGAGCTGCTTCGTGAGGCCCAGGCCGAGGTTGGACTTATGGGTTCTGCGGCCGGACGCAAAGCTTCTTTTGAGAAGGAGGGCGAGAAGCATGTTGAGGCTCTATGAATGGGAGCACTCGTGACGATAGGATAGTCCGGAGCGGGGATGAGATGTTTGGTGATGATGAGGTTGTAATGTTAGATACCACGCTATGCATAATGATCATTTTGGACATTTCTTAATCTATCTGCCTATACCATTTTGCTTGATAATTACTGAATGACAAAGCATGGTCTCTTCTAATGCGTATGTAGAAACATGTATGTACATCCATTCAAGACTCATCTCTACGCCAAGACAACCACGGAAGATAATCCGTAGGGCTGGCGCTAGCTTAATCTGTAATTTATCGCATTTAGTAATAGTATATATAAAGAAATAATCCCTTGCAAAGTTTCTACCATCTTGTTGCAGAACAAACGGACGCTGGCGAGCCAGCTGGGGTGAGAAGATGGCAATGGCATCATCCAGAATTGACCAGTGCCATAAGACCTCTCAAGTGATTAAATAGCACATGTCAGAACACTTCGACCACGAAAACAGAGTAAAGCTTTTGTACCGAAATACTCTGCCTCTACAGAAGTCAGGCAGGACGACCGCGACGTGATGTTTACGTGAGCGGGCCCAATCGCCACTATCAACACGAACAGTCTGATTTAAAGTCACAAACTCGCGCGGGGAACTTTACTTTACCTTACCTTGTCGTAGTCTGTGCTTTCTGGGGCAATTCAGAAGCTCAAGTTACCTAGAAAATGGAGCCTTTGCTTCCTCCGGTTGTTACGTTACCGAGTCATGGCTCGGCATCGCGTCGCCTACGGCCCCCGAATACGGTTTAGTCCACTAACATCAGAACTTTGGAGAACTTGATGATTGGCCAATTGCAATTCCAATTGGTGAGTGGTCACCTTGGAATGGATCCTTCGGGGATCACCGGCTTCTGGAAAATTACCCTGTTTCTGTCACACTTGACAAATGAATTGAGAGTGGCCAGGAGGAGGCTACAATTCCACTTTGGGGTCATATCTGCACTCATCATCACATTCTTCCTTGATGTCGCTCATGTCGTGTCGTGCCGCGTATAGGCGATCAACCTAGCTCTCTATCAATACTCCACTTGTCATCTCACAATGGCCTTTTTCCCATCAGAAGACTTCTCCCTCGATCCCCGCTTCATCGAGCTGCAGGAAGAGCTCCGCACAGTTCTCTTCGCGGGTCTGTCTGGCTTGTCACCCAGCGCCTCAGTCACGCCAGAAGCAGACTCATCATCACCACCAACATCGTCCCTCAATCTCTCCAGCGTAACAGTCAATATTCCCAATGATAGATTAATATGCTATCTTCAGAATTGGGTCACAGAATGTGCGCCTTATCTGGACAAGTTTGATGAGGATAAGCATTTCCAGATTCACGTTCCGCTTATGGCGCAGAAGAGCCCGGCACTATTATATGCCATGCTTGCCTTTTCGTCACGGCAGATGGAACGTAGAGGATTGACGCAGGAAGGGGGATGTGATAGTCTGGAGTTGTATCAGGAGAGTATTAGGCTTTTGAGTCCTGGATTACAAGCCAAGGACCCCAATATGCTTGTTACGGCTTGCATTCTCGCTGTTTTTGAGCTCATGTCTGGCGGTTCCAAGAACTGGAAGCGTCATGTTGAGGGCTGCGCGTCGCTATTTGAGTTCTTTGGAGTTGATGGCTTCTCCGGTGGCCTACCGCAGGCTGTCTTCTGGTGCTATGCCAGGATGGAGTTGTGCGGAGCAATTATATCAGATGGGACAGAAACAGCTGTTCTTCCTCTATCAAAATGGGCCCCATCGCCACCTGAATCGCTGATATCCTCTGAACAAGTCGAGCGATATGTGCGAGACATGTTTCATCGAAGAAGCCGAGATTGCCCAGACATGCAGGCTAACTGGGCGATTTATCTCTGCACAAAAGTCTGCGATCTGAAATTTCGAAGAACACAGAGTCTAGAACTTGGGAGAGTAGATGTTCAAGATGACAGGCCCTTTCAAGAACAATGGCAACAGCTCTGGAACGAGCTTCAATACTGGCTTGATGAGCGTCCAGCAACAATGAAGCAAATCAGTATGGTCGAAGCAGGCGATAAACAGATCTTTCCAGCCATGCTATTCCCCCACTGGGCAGCTATTTCAAGTAATCAGATCTACCACACTGCATGTATCCTCATGCTGGAAATGCGTCATGACCTGGACTCCCAGTGCTTGGCGCTGTGGCATGCACGACAAGTCTGTGGAATATCCTGCGCAAATCTTCATCCGGGAAGTCTTGTGAATTCTATACAGCCACTCTATATAGCAGGAAAGCTCTTCTCACATGTCAGCGAGAGGAAACAGATTGCTAGGCTGTTGAAGAGCATTGATAGGACGACGGGATGGGGAGCTTTGTGGAGGTTGACGGATCTTGAGGCTGAATGGGGCTACGATGTTGGCGCGCTGCTAAAGACGCTCTGAGGACTTGCGACAGGGATTTTAGCGAACAAGAGACCCAGAGAACTGGTAACATATCATAATAATAAGCATGATCCCACTAGACCCCGTTCACATGCTTCTTGATCGACTATCCGCCATCGCATAACACACCCATTTTCAGGATAGCGTGCCCAGAGCGAGTGGAGTCCGTCGACAACACTCAGCGGTCTTGCATTGCCCGTATAAAGGTTTTCGTCTTTTAGAAGATCCCTGCCTCGTCTTTCATTATCTACAAACATTCATATCTTCCACATAAACGTCATGGCGTTACCAAGACCAGTCATCAGTGTCCTCGGATCACTGAACATCGACCTCGTGTCATATGTTCCTCATCATCCCCTCCCCGGTGAGACAATAACTTCAAGCCGGTTCAATGTCTTCCCCGGCGGAAAGGGCGCCAACCAAGCTGTTGCTTGTGCGAAGCTTTCGAGGACTTCGGATCTGAAGAACCCAAGCGTTGATGTTGCCATGATTGGTGCCGTTGGAGCTGATGCTTATGGCTCCGTACTCCTTGACAGTCTCAAGTCATATGATGTTGGAACTGACTCTATCATTGTGAACAAGGATGGAGGCGCCGAGTCCCAGAGCGGAATTGCCATGATCATTGTCGATGAACCAACTGGTCAAAACCGCATCATCCTATCACCAGGAGCCAACAATTCTCTGCAGCCGAGCCACTTCACCGGTATCCCTGGTCCAACACCATCATTGCTTATCATGCAGCTTGAGATCCCTCTGGAGACAGTCATCCAGGCATTCAAAGCAGCCAAGACGACAGGAACTCCCGTTCTGCTCAACCCCGCCCCCGCTCAAGTGCTGCCAGCTGAGATCTACCAAGGTCTAGCTCACTTGATCCTCAACGAGACCGAAGCGGCTTTGTTGTCAGACAAGGACGAGTCCGAGTTTGAAGATGTCTCGGTTGTTGAAAAGGCCGCTGCCGATTTCCTTGCTCGAGGCGTTCGAAACGTTGTGATTACTCTGGGTGGGAAGGGTGCATACTACGCCAACGACACAGGCGCCAAGGGCCTCATCCCTGCTCTGAAGGTTGAGGTCGTGGATACGACTGCCGCTGGTGACACATTCATCGGAGCTTATGCAGTTAAACTTGCGGGCGCTGAGCAACGGTCGGAGCAGTTCGACATTGAGAAGGCTGTCAGGTCAGGAATCTGTGCATCATCGAAGACAGTCGTGCGAAGGGGAGCTCAAGTGTCTATACCGTGGAAGGATGAATTGGAGTCAACGAAGTAATGAAAAATAATGATCTAATACAATTCTCATGGCTCTATCTTATCCGCCTCGCTATCATAAAGTGTCAGGAGTGCGCATTTGTCGGCGCGCTGGTATGTCGAGAAGAAGACCAAAACTGCTGCAGATCCGCGATCTCACTTTGGAGAGGAATCTTGGTCGCATCCCCAATCCTCTGAAAACACGAGAGTAATGCTTCCTGCTGGGAAGGATATGTCATATCTCTCGCTATACGCACAACAGTTGCAACAACGACAGGGTCCCATTGATCAGAAAAGTTATTCCACAGAGCAAGTTTAGCGAGCTTTTGGGCGTGCCAGCTTCGTGAGGATAAGCGATGTGGTATCGATGATAATTTGACTAAACGTGGTTTATATGAAAGTAGTAAAAGGGCTGAAAAATGAATCGCTAGGTTTGCTTGAACCGCAATGGCGCTTGAATAGACGTCTGCTGTAAATGGGGTATTGGTGGAGGCTGCATGGTCAACTTCCGGACTCTCTAGTAAGGGGATCATATCGGGAGGGCGATCTCGAAACCATTGGACACAGCGTGCCCATAGTTTGGACCATGTTGACCAAACGAGAGAATAAGAATCATGAGTTGGTGATTGCGCGGGTGCGATACCGTTGAAGAGAGGGATGATTTCGTCATGGATTAAGTGGCAGCATGCCGCGAGATGTGTCAGACTGTCGTCGTAAATGCTCGGCGGCGTCAGTGCAGAGGTTAAGAATGTGTCGTTGATTAGTGGTAGGGACTGTAGTGACGGGGACTTCGTGGTAATAATAGAAGCAGCAAGCTCTGTTGGCAAAAGTCAGCTCATCTCTTACAGAGCACCAGATCAACCATAGTACCTGTCTTGAAGTGAAAGCGATCAAGAGTTTTGAGAGGCTCCTCCTGACTCTCAAAGAACTGACAGCGTTCTCTCACATCTAGACAATCAGAATGCAAATTTGCCCACTCAGATGGGCCAGTATAAAAGAAGTTACCAAGAGCAAGTAGTGACCGTCCAATGTTAGCGATGAAAGCATCCTCCAGAGATAGCCGATGCTGGAACTGTTGGACAAGGTGAGTATCGCCCTCATGCGTAGTGGAGCTCGAACTCCTCCTGCTGCGGCGCATCGCAACCCATATGATGATATCCATTATGGTAGACTTCTCTGCTGCTAATGTCATGATCTTTGGTCCAAAGGTTGATCTGGGGGCATTCGAGTCTAGCCAGGGGACTATTTGATAGCGAAACCGAAGCATTGCTGTTTGTCTCTCTGAGGAGTTTTGCTCTGATAGAACAGTTTCGTTCCATCTTGACGGCGTTGGGATTTGGTTCCCATCGTGTTGGTGATGATTATTGGTTGAACGGATTGGTCGAGGGACATCTGTTGCCGTGTTGTTGATAGACTCAAGTCTTTCTGTCCGAGCAGTAGTGGCTACGGGGCTTTCAAAGACTGGCTCGACGGGAGCAGGACTTGACTCGACAAAGGACAGTAAACTATCTTGGATGGGCTGAAGAGACTGTTAGTAGTAGATCGACTGACCCGTAGAAGATAAAGGACTGACCAGAGACGAATCAGCATCATCGGCATTGTCCCCTTGGACGCTCCCATCTTTGCGCAGTGATGAGCTAACCCCCGGCACAAAGGTCCACTCTTTGAACTCGCACGTCACATTCCTCCCGATACAACTGCCGCATTGAGGTCTTTGCTCATCACCTTATACCGAACCAAATGTTAGACAAAGTCACCGGGAGAGACGCGACTGACTAACATTTTCTTCGACGTCTTCGACAGGGGATACAGCCTGTGCGAGACCGTCTTTTGTTATCGGGTATTCGTCTTACGACTGGCATTGCGATAAGGTACGCATACACGCACGCGTTTTTGACGAGAACAAGATGGATCTAGCGATGGGAAAAGAGGAGTCTTGAGGGCGGTGGAGATGGGCAGAAACTATTTCTCGAGGCCGACGATTTGGTCAACAACACAAAAAGATATCGTACTTTGGAATATGATTGCAGATTCCCATGTTATAGGACATTCTAAGGAATAGTTAATGGAATCCTTGAGAAGGGCTCTTTATCTATTTCTTGGCTGACGACATGGCATGCAACTGCCAGCGGCACATTCCCAAGTCATGATACTAGACCAGAACAGGAAAGGTTCTCGAAACCCCGCTGTGCATCCTCTACCTGTTGGATATCATCATATCAATCAAGATGGTCAATACCACCAGAAAGCAACGACAATGGCCTCTCATGAAGTTAATCAGCACCAAAGTTGCTATCAAGCCATCAATCGACACCAAAGAAGATCCAAAGACCAGAGTAGAACGTCACCCAGCAAGAATTCTCTGGGTGTAATGAACGAATTGTTTGACAGAGAAACTTCACTAATGCCATAGCACAACAGACTATCAGACGGAAGGCGCCGCAAGAGTCTAACAAACCTTGGTGAAGCCAGTATAACTGGGCTGCAGTGTTGTGATCGTGACCGTTTGGCTTGAGTGATGGGGACCAAGGGAGGGCGTGGTCAAAGAGCGAGCGACGCCATCGTGGAAAAGCAATGTCAGCCCCAGAAGCCTGGGCCACAGACTATAGATGCGGCTAAGAATATCCATTGGTCTTCTCTATATGGGTATAATGCGAAGCGCTCCTAAACTGCATGATAATGTCACACCTCCGCAATGAGACGGCTCAAATATCGTATGGAGGATGCGCACACATTGCATATATACCCGGAAGGCCGAGGAGATTAAAACAACCAAAATTTGAAAACAAACTGCCTTACTATCTTCAATATGATAAAACTGCTGCTCCTACTCTTCGCTCTCTGTGCATCGCTTGTACAAGCCCTGTGGAAGGGTTGTTCCAGTCCCTGGCCGAGCATTACCCCCGGCACGCAATTCACCCTCAAGGACAAATGCCGTACTCTAGCAGGCTATCCAAAGAAGTTTGGAAAGGCTAATACAGAAGTCAACGTGGCGTATACGCAGCAATGGAGCCGTCTACCCACCACTATCAAAACAGCCGTAAACCCAATTCTCAAAGAATCTCTCGAAAAAAGCATAGAACTCTACCGCAATTTCGCAAAACTTCCATCGAGCATTGTCGTCATTCTGACAACAGAAAATGACGAGGATTATACAGCCGAGACTTACTATCCTAGTCTTAGGAAGCCACCGTGTCAGATCAAGTTGTTCAAGAGATGGACCACTGAAGCAACGACTAATAAACCTCGGGTGCTACAGGCTCTTGCGCATGAGATATATCATTGCATACAGAGTGAGTCTCGGGAAACTTGGGAATCATCCTGATCCGCAGTGGGTTCGTGAAGGCTTTGCGAACTACTTCAGTAACCTCGTCTTTCCTGACTCCAACGCCGAATGGCCTGATAGAAAGCATAGCGGCGTCGCGTATAAGCCGAATATGCCGATCTATGCACATGTCGGTTTAGAAGCCTACGCGACTAGCATATTCTTCCAAGCGCAAGACAAGGTGGATGACAATGACTTGCACAGATTTGTTCTGACAACACCTGGAGGATCAAGCGGGCTTAAGGAACGAACTCGTCTATCGCATCTATCAGGATTTACTGAAGAGTTTTTCGAATTCGCGAAAGATTTCACACTACAGCAGATCAAAGACGCCAATGGAGATATCATTCCAATCGACAAGATTGATCCCGTTTCTGCATCAATCAAGTTTGACAAAGCGGGCACTACCGGCACCGCAACGCTCACAAGCACGCCGTTCACAATCTCGATCTTCAAGATTACCATTGACCCCGGGAGGACGGCAAAAATCTACTCATCGGCGAATTTCAACCAGAAGCTTGCTTAGCGAAAGTCAGACGCCAAATCATGGACCGACATGGCCGCCGATTCCTCTTCTGGACGTACTATTGATCTTGCATGCGATCAGAAGAACACTAAACAGACATACATCGTTTTATTCGCCTCAACGAAGGATGTGAAGGGTGATAAAGTTAAAATCACGGGTAAGCCGAAAAAGTGCGGCGCAAGAAGCGGCTTCGTTCTGTATCCTCTCTTTAATCCTACAACTAGCGGCGGGTACTGTCCAAAGACGCGGATTACAGCAAGGAAATTGTCCAGGATCATCTCGGATGCGCTAAACCCGAGTGGACACTATGGAACAAGCAGAACAGAGAGGTCGGATGCTGTCAAGCTGGATTTTACCCTACAGCAAACAGATATTGCACTACGGATCCTGCGGCATGGGATAAACGCTTCGTGAAGGTAATCGATTACATGCTTTCACTAAAAATTTCAAGAGTTTACTAACATCGAGATCGACAGATTTCACAGAGTAGTTAGTCTAGCTATACCAAGATCACATCGGAGATTTTCCTTAAGAATGAGAATTTCAATAGCATTCGCTTGTGCTTCACCGTGTTTGCGGTATTTCGTGGATAAATTCATAGCGATAGGGTAGTCCGAAAACTCAAAATTGAACTTACTTGTCGCATTGCTTAGCCTATCACGGTATAAGTCATCTTCCTTCCAAGCCATATTCGGATCTAGTCAAGCTGCAAAAACCTCAGTGTCTAGACCTCTCAAGCCGCCAACCCTCGGACGAAGATACCAACCGACAGATACACAACCACGGATACACAACCACGGATACACAACCCTCATCGGGGATCGCTTAGCTAGCGTTCTGGTAGCTTGGAACATGGGATTCTGGTATGCGAATACCAATTTCGCTGCGTTTGGACTGGTCTAAGACTATATTGTGAAGGGATACACTGCCTATTGGACGGATCATATCACTTCTGAACTCAAAACGTTGATACCTCTACTGGTGCTTGCAACATGATATGACTCTAGGTGTATGACTACGCGCCCGATAAGGCTGGACCAGATACAGTTGAAGGATCGGACTGTCTCGTCCGGTTCGCTCTAAGCCGCATCGCGAACATTTTACCGAGCCAAGCACCTAGAACGCCCATCTTACGAGGCGCGTGTTAAAGCCGCATCATGCATGGGCGGGGCTTGAGGAACTGTTATGCTTAATCGATAGCTCTCGAAGCTGCTTTCAGCTCGATAGTTAGTTCCAGGCCAGCAATCACATCTTTCTCACGCCATGGCTCAAGCTCTTGGACGCGCAAGTATGGTCTTTGGGGAATAGTGTAGTAAAATGGCGCAGCTGAGAGTGAAAAAGTGCATTGTTTGATAGCCCGAAGTGGGAAAGGTCGTACGAGCACGTTATTGACTCTCTGCCACGTTCATGTGTAGGTTACGGGGCTAGGCTCTGGATTAATACGAGCTGTGCTGTGAATGGCTTGCGCTATGGACGAATTCGAAGCTAGATCCGAGGCGAGTCAATAGGTGGTGAGAAATAAGTGTCTCGATGCCGCCTAGCCCGAGTTTTACATACCAGAGCCGCGAGCGATGGTTCCTGTAATGGGCGGGCAGTGACAGTCGAGAGCTCTACAGAATGCCATTGGAACACGGGGAACCCTGCTTGAGTGGACCATGATTTGCGTCTGGATGTTTGCAGATAAGCGAGTGACTAAAAAGCTTGTCTGGGTGATCGTCCGGCGTCGGAAAGTAAATTCATCTGGCCATGACAGTCCAATTGAGTCGCGACTCTCGCCAAAAGGCCAGTGGAGAAGAGTCAGTGCTTTGGGAATTACAGAAAGTGACTTATCACTGCACGCACGCAAATGAGGTTATAGAATGATGGCGATGTTGAGATATGGCGGCTTGGTGGAGATAAGCCCAGATTCAAGCCTCTCGGCAAAACAGGCACACAGCTGAGAGACATCGCTTAGCCTCTGCTCCGTCAACAGAAAGAATGAAAAAGCTGTAGTGAACGGTTTTGCAGGTAATGCCTGCAGAAAAACATCTAGACCCAACGCCGACGCCACAAGGAGGAGCCGCACAATCGCCAAGGTGTCTCTACAGCGGGAGCCCGGGTAGTCGGGACTCTCGACAGTGGTTCTGCCAAGGAAACTAGATCCGCGTGGCTCTGCAAGGGGCAAAGACTCGTTCTCTGTTAAGAATGGAAAGGATCAGCGTGGAATGTAAAGGGACCTGCGTATGTATTTCCCGGCCTGTGGAGCCACGGGTAGGCCCGTTTTTGCATGCCGTTATTGGAATGGTGTCCTCTGTCTCGGTTCAGCTCCCCGATCTAGACCGTGCCTCTCAAGACAGGGGCTTGAGTCACTAGAGAAGACCTCAGTTCACCATTTCCTTGGTTATTTCGATCTAGAAGATTTATTTCTACAATTGATGGAGATGGCAATTGATTGCAACAGGAATAGCCATTCTCTGCCTTGTTTTTTATCTCCATATCATGTCACTGCCGTATCAATATGTTGCCGTTTACAGACCCTTTACCAAAGAGTCCCGGGCTCCTGGTACCCTTATCACTCACAATTCCATATGCAGAAAGCCGAAAATAGAAATTGAGTTCACACAACAGTACACACCTTTTTAGCCCTGGTCCCTGGAAGGGTCTTCTTGTGGCTAGAATGAGGCGGGAATAACATTGAGTTTATACGGAATATCTCGACTAAACAAATTTCGACCCAGACGGATTAGGAAACACGCCAACTTGAGCTTATCGGCCATCGGCCAAGATGGAATGAAATGTTGTTATAAAAACCCTTCATAGATCTGACCAGAATTCGATTTTATTCCCATCAACAATCTCACAGTCTACTACATCCATCAAGAGTAGTTTATTCGTTACATTGTCTTTTTCGCAATGCATTTCATCAAGGCTATTGTCTGGGGTATATCCCTTGCTGCTGTCAACGCGGCTGCTTTGCCCGCCGACGGATCTGGTGTCACTATCTGCGAGTTCTCCGGCGGCGACCGAGCCTGCGAAGCTCATGTGAGTACAATGGGATATCTGGCCTGGTAACAGTATGGACTAACGATTTCAACAGTGCATTGAGAAGGGTAAAACCTTTGTATCTTGTGCGCCGTGAGTATTCAGCCGAGTCAGCTTTGAGATGTAGCTAACATTCGATAGTGAGTGCACATGTTCCGGCCGCCTGGGAAATCCTCTGAGACGTCTTGTCAAGAGGAAGACTACATCGTCTGCCAAGCCTACCACTGTCAAGGTTCAGGCTACTACTTCGAAGCCTGCCACGACCACCAAGAAGGCCACCACCACAAGCAAGCCGGCCACCACGAGCAAGAAGCCTACGACTACCTCCAAGCCTGCTACTACTACTTCTAAGAAGCCAACTACTACTTCGAAGCCCGCTACCACTTCTAAGCCGGTTACAACTTCTAAGAAGCCAACGACCACGTCTAAGCCTGCTACAACCTCCAAGCCTGTGACAACTTCCAAGAAGCCAACGACCACCAGCAAGCCTACTACTACCAGCAAGCCCGCTACTACCAGCAAGCCTCCTACCACCAGCAAGCCTGCTACTACTTCTAAGCCCGCTACCACTAGCAAGCCTGCTACTACTTCTAAGCCTGCTACCACTTCCAAGCCTGCTACCACTTCCAAGCCTGCTACCACTTCCAAGCCTGCTACTACTTCTAAGCCTGCTACCACTTCCAAGCCTGCTACCACTTCCAAGCCTGCTACCACTTCCAAGCCTGCTACCACTTCTAAGCCTGCTACCCCACTTCCAAGCCTGCTACCACTTCCAAGCCCGCTACCACCAGCAAGCCTGCTACTACCAGCAAGCCTGCTACTACCAGCAAGCCTACTACTACTTCTAAGCCTACTACTACTTCTAAGCCTACTACTACCAGCAAGCCTGCTACCACTAGCAAGCCTGCCACTACATCGAAGCCTCCTACCACAACCTCTAAGCCTATCACAACTTCCAAGGCTGCGACTACCACTTCCAAGGCCGCAACAACAACCTCCAAGCCTTTATCGAGCTCATCATCTTCCAGTACCAGCTCCAAGGTTTCTACTTCTACTAGTGCCCCTGCTTCCACTAGCAAGGCTTCCACCTCCACCAGTGCTCCCGCTTCTACAAGCAAGGCTTCCACCTCCACCAGTGCTCCCGCTTCTACAAGCAAGGCTTCCCACCTCCACCAGTGCTCCCGCTTCTGCTCCCGCTTCTACAAGCAAGGCTTCAACCAGCACAAGCTCAGCTGCAGTTTCTACCAGCTCTTCTGCTTCTACCTCAGCTGCTGCTTCCACCTCATCGTCCGCTGCTGTCTCATCTTCCGCTGCTGTCTCATCTTCTTCTGCTGCTGTCTCATCCAGTGCTGCCGCTTCTTCAAGCACTGCTGTGACTTCTGAGTCTGACGACGAGACTACCACTGCCGTCTCCTCTACTTCTGCTGGTCAGTCTTCTTCCACTGCCGCTGTCGATGACGAGACCACCACGACATCTGCTGCTGCCGGAGCTACTACCACTTCTGCCGCTGCTGGTACCACCACCTCTGCCGCTGCCGCCGGAACTACCACTTCTGAGGCCGATGATGAGACATCCAGCGCTACTACCCTTGTCACCCTGACCCGCACTTCTAGCACTGCCGATGGGGAGTCATCTACTCAGGTCGCTTCTTCTACATCGGTTGCTGACGATGAGACTACCTCCAGCCAAGCTGCTTCGTCTACCTCTGCTGCCGCTTCTACCTCATCTTCTGCTGCCGATGAGTCTACCAGCCAACCCGCCTCTAGCACATCTGTTGCTGAGTCCACTAGCTCTGCTGGTGCCTCGACTTCATCAACCGCCGATGAGGAGTCTACGAGCCAGGCTGCTTCCAGCACCTCTGCCGCCGATGAGACTACTACTTCAGCTGCCGCGACAACCTCATCAGCTGCCGGTGAGACATCTAGCCAAGCCGCTTCATCCACCTCTGAGCAGTTGACTGGTAACCCCGCTGGAATTTCCACCTCTTCATCCGCTGAGGAGTCCACCTCTGCTGCTGCCACCAGCTCTGCTGCCGATTCTAGCTCCGCTGCTGTCACTACCTCATCCTCTGTCGACCAGTCTTCCAGCCAAGCGGCCAGCACCAGTTCTACTGCTGCTGATGAGACGACCAGCTCCGCTGTCGCCTCTACCTCATCTGATGCTGAGACCTCTTCCTCTGCTGCTGGCGTCACATCTACTTCAGCCGCTGAGACCTCTTCTTCCGTCGTCGAGTCTAGCAGCTCTGCCGCGGCCTCCACTTCGACTGATCAGACCTCTTCCTCTGCCGCCCAGACCTCGTCTTCTGCTGCGGATGAGACTTCCAGCTCTGTCGCCGAGACTTCATCTTCTGTTGCTGCTTCCAGCACCTCTGCAGCTGATGCCACATCCTCTTCTGCTGCTGTGACATCTTCATCTGTTGCTGAGTCTACATCAGTTGCTCAGACCTCCACTTCGGCTGATCAGACTTCGTCTTCTGCGGCCGAGACCTCCTCTTCTGCTGCCTCAACCTCGGCTGCTGAGACATCCTCATCCGCTGCCACTTCGTCCTCCACTGCTGAAACCTCCAGCTCTGTTGCCGAGACATCTTCTGTTGCTGCCTCCAGCACCTCCGCTGCTGTCTCAACTTCCTCTGATGCTACATCCTCGGCAGCTGCTGAGACCTCTTCGTCAGCTGCCTCTAGC